CGCAAGCGCAGCCGCAAGGAGAGCTATTCCATTTACGTGTACAAGGTGCTGAAGCAAGTGCACCCCGACACCGGCATCTCCTCCAAGGCCATGGGCATCATGAACTCCTTCGTCAACGACATCTTCGAACGCATCGCCAGCGAGGCCTCCCGCCTGGCGCACTACAACAAGCGCTCGACCATCACCTCGCGGGAGGTGCAGACGGCCGTGCGCCTGCTGCTGCCCGGGGAGCTGGCCAAGCACGCCGTGTCCGAAGGCACCAAGGCGGTTACCAAGTACACCAGCTCCAAGTGAGGCGCTTCCACCGCAGCCGCGAAACCGAACCCAAAGGCTCTTTTCAGAGCCACCCACTTGATCGAAAAAGGGTTTCGGACACGTTAAAGGTTTCTGCTTCACTCAGCCATCTACAAATGCTCTAGCGTTTGGTTACTCTGGGGGCCCTGTCTGAATGTGAGTGCAACTGAGATTTGGCGTACAATACGGGAATGTAGAACTGCTCATTACAGAAGTCAGGGGTAGAAATTGTTGCGGGGCAAAGTCCTTGAAATGTTCGCGGGAGGTGGTGACAGAACTATATCTTACTTTACATCCAGTCATTAAAATCACAATGTTAAAGTAGATTTTACATTCAAATGCTCCTTGGCAATTTAATGAGCCTGTTGCCCTGGCACTCGTGGGCCTGGAGAAAGCGCTGGAGAAAGCGCGGCAGCCTGCTTTGCTCGTATGAGGACGGGGAGCAGTAGCTGCCCCAGGAACACCTTGTGCCATCGGCACGCCTGACACCGGACACGTACTGGGCGCTTCCTTGGATCAGACATCTTATTCTCAAGCAGTTACATGTCCGTTGGGAGTACATAGGCAGCATCTGTTTGAAACGCAGTGAAAACGCAACATCGCCCTTGAAGTTGACTCCCGCCCTGGGTAGATTTAACCCTTTGCTTTGCTTGGGGGCTTAGAGCCCTGGGTTGCGCTGGAGCCCCTTGACTCTGGCGGGAGAAAGATGGTTATCAGCTCCTGAGATTTGTACCCTTGAAAACTATAAGGGGTCCCCCCGGGAAGTCGGATCGACTCAAGACAGTGGGTTTATGTTCGGGGAGGAGAGGTGTCAAGTGATGTTTTAATCAATGTAAGAGGAAGAGAATTACCTTCCCCCTACCCCATTCCCCGCCCCAACCCTGAACTGAAATTTGGCTCCTTTGGCCTCGCGGTGTCAGCCACGCTATTATTTTATGTAAAGCTTTACTGTTAGTTGCCATAGAGTTGCCACCATTCTAGGAAGCCCGTGCGCAACAGGAATGGAACCATTGTGATTAACATGGCTTTTATTGGCTGATCACTCTGCCTTTCTTGCTTGTCCAGCTGAATTCAATAAACGATCTCTTTTCTTCTCTGAATTCATGGCCTTTATTTTGAGAATCATCTGGCTCAGGAAAACGCTGTAGTGTGACGTCTCCAACCAGGCGAGGCCGTGCTTACCTTTTATCTTTGCCTGACTTTTCTTACTGTCCACAAGCCTCTGGCTGCGATTTTGAAAATTCGTTGAAAACTAGTGTCATCAACTCAGGCAAGGAATATATACCTTAATATAAATGAATAAATAATTATCGTTTTTAGCAAGTCATCTCACTATAGAAATCCAGTTACTTGTCCAAGCTAGGCTGCAGGGTCGAGAGGGGGCTGAACTCTAGGAGCCAGGAACGCGTCATATAAGTCACATCCCTGACACAGGGACAGCTACTTACGGTACCTCTCTCCCACTCCTCCTTTTTCCCCTCAATATGGATCTTCTCTAAAATCTCATATATTTTCAAATTGGCATCTAAAAGGAAAACACCCCCTTTTAAAATAATTAAATAGTTGCAAGGATGCAAATTCCAATTTACTATAAAAGTTGACCTTTTCTTTCTTTT